CCATCCAGGCCGTCTAGAGGCTCTCTTGAGGGTCTCTGTGGCTGTCTTGGGGCGATACCGGAGGCCTTCTTGGCCGTTTTGGACGCTGTTTCCTTGGGCAGTCTTGGCTCAGTTGGGGCTTCCTTGTGATCGGTTGTGGCTTCCTTGGGCAGTCTTGGGGTCATCCAGGCTGTCTAGAGGCTCTCGGGGTCTCCAGGGCCGTCTTGGGGCGAAACCAGGCCTTCTTGGCCGTTTTGGACGCTGCTAAGACCCGAACAGCGAATGTGCTGAAAAGGTACGTTCCCCGAAGGCAATGAAGCGATGTGTGCGTTCTGGGAGCCCTGTTGAGGGCCTCCTGGGTCGTCTTGGGGGCCTCTGGAGGCCTTCTGGATCCTTCTTGGAGCGTTGTTGTGCTGTCTAGGGTCTTTCTTCGGCCTCTCTGATCACCGCTCTGATCGCTTCCGGGCCTTGTGAGGGCCTGTTCGGCCTCTCTTTAGTTCATTTGTGGATTTCTTGGACAGTCTTGGGGCCATCCAGGCTGTCTAGAGGCTCTCTTGGGGGTCCCTTGGGCCGTCTGGGGGCGAAGCCGGAGGCCTTCTTGGTTGTTTTGGACGCTGCTATGACCCGAACAGCGAATTTGCTGAACATGAACGTAGTCCGAAGGGAATGAGGCAATTCCTGTATTCTGGGAGCCCTGTTGAGGGCCTCCTGGACCCCGCCACCCGAAGCTCAGCCGAAGGCCCACCCATGTCGGCACACCCTTCACAGGCTTCGTGGCCCCATAGGGAGTTCCACCGAAGGCCCCAGTGGCTGTGCCCACATGCGTCCCCGCCACTCTTTCCAGTGCACCTCTCACACGTTTCATGGCCCCACAGGGAACTCCACCGAAGGCCCCAGTGTCAGTGCCCCAGTGCCCATAGTCAGCTCCACCGAAGGCCCCACGCTCCGTGGCCCCATCGGGAGCTCAACCAGTGCCCCAGTGGCGGTGCCCACATGCGTCCCCGCCACCCATGTTGGCACAGCCCTCACACGCTCCGTGGCCCCGTAACCGCATGCCGATGATAATAAAGGGACCCCCCCCCCTTCAGTGTTTAGAGTTGATTATCGTCGCCCTATACAAAATTCAAATTGGGCGGCGAGCGCTGAGGCCGAACTTCATTATCACCTCGAAACGCTATGTTGAGATAGCAACATCAAGCGATGTTGATATAGCAACATCAAGCGAAGCGATCACACTTTTTCAGGATGTGTCAAGCGAAACCAATAATTTTGGGAGGCAGACTCAAACGAAACGAGCAATGTTTCAAGGATGTCTCAAGGATGTTTCAAGCTAAACCAGCAAGTTTTTTCTTTTTATTTATATTTTTTATTATCTTCCTTTTTATATATGTATCTATCCCCGCGCGCGCCTGAACTTTTTTATCTCTGGGGTTGATTATCCATGGAAAGGGGAGCACATGAGCTACCCTACATGAGCACTTTAAAAAATCAATTTTCATAAAGCGCTTGTAAATTGAAATTGATAGATTTGGAACTTTCCATTTTTCCGTTTTTCTTCTCTTCTTCTTATTATCTTATTATTCTCTTCTTATTATTCTTCTATTTTCCTCTTCTTATGTTATATTTCTATCTGTCCTCACGCTCGCCTGAACTTGTTTATCCCTGGGGGTGATTATCCTGAGGACGTTACAAGCGAAATCAGCAATACTTTGAGGACGTTACAAGCGAAAAACACAATGATTTCGAGGATGTCTCAAGCGAAATAAGCAATAGTTTGACTGTGTCTCAAGCGAAATAAGCAATAGTTTGCGGATGTCTCAAGCGAAACAAGGGATTTGTCGAGGATGTCTCCAGCGAGATAAGCCATTTGAGGATATTTCTATGAAAACTAAACGCCAAGGATGTCTCAAAACGTGCTCGGCTTGGTCTCCTCTTGATCATCTCTTACTTCGAGATTATGCTGAGGTCTGCTGGGCTACTTTTATTATCTCTCCCTGAACCCCGAACTTTATTATCCCCTAGTGTTTATTCTCACGGGCATGAGGTTAGGGAGCTCCACTGACGGCCCCAGTGGCGGTGCCCACATGCGTCCCCGCCACCAATTCGGGCACCCCCCCCTCACACGCTTCGTGTCCCCATCGGGAGCTCCCCCGAAGGCCCCAGTGGCGGTGCCCGCATGCGCCCCGCCACCAATTCTGGCACCCCGCTCACAAGTTTCGCGACCCCATGGGGAGCTCCACGGAAGGCCCCAGCGGCGGTGCCCACAGGTGCCCCCGCCACGCCTTTTGGCACGCCCCTCCCACGCTTCATGGTCCCGTGGGGAGCTCCACGGCAGGCCGCGGTGGCGGTGCGCAAATGCGCCCCCGCCATCCATTTCCGCGAAGCCCCAGCGGCGGTGCCCACATGCGTCCCCCTCACACGCTCCATAACCCCAGTGGCGGCCCACATGTGCCCCCGCCACCCATGTCGGCACACCCCTCACTTTCGTGTCGCCATACGGAGCTCCAGCGAAGGCCCCATTGGCGGTGCCCACATGCGTCCCCGCCGCCCATGTCGGCACTTCCCGCACACGTTTCGTGGCCCCATAAGAAGCTCTACCGAAGGCCCCAGTGGCGGTGCCCACATGTCTCCCCGCCACCCTTTGCACGTCCTTTGCACGTCTCGTGGTCACATCAGGAGCTCCACCAGAGGCCCCAGTGGCGGTGCCCACATGCGTCCCCGCCACCCATTCTGGCACACCCATCACACGTTTCGTGGTTCCAGGGGGAACTCCACCGATGGCCCCATGCGTCCCTGAGGCCAATGTCGGCACACCTTTCAAACGCTTCGTAGCCCCAAAGGGGCTCCACCGGGGACGATACTCGCAGATGCATGATTTACAACTGCGCATGGTTGGGTCCTTGGCCAGGCTAATGTTTTATTTGACTTCCAACAGCTGCCTGTAGGAGGACATGCCCAACTTAACATTTGCTATCCCCCGCCCCCTCTTCGTCCGCCCCAGGCCTCGATGCTTTGCCGACTCCTCGTCGATGCCTCGATGCCCCCGTCCTCGAAGCCTCGATTCCCCGACCTCGAGGCTTGCATCCTTCGAGTAGGGATCAACTACATAACTCATTTACCCGAGAACGGCCTTTTCCGCCGCATCTACTAAACACTCGTGGGATGCCCCGTGGATATACAGAACAGTTTACCCCATGCTTTGCATATTCGAAGGGACAGTCAATTCTGGGGTAAGTCAAGTCTCTAGTCGGTCCACTACTCGAGCCCGCGAGCCCGCGGTTGTCAGGGGCTTGAGGCTCACTCTCCTCCTCCTCCTCCTCCTCCTCCTCCTCCTCCTCCTCCTCCTCCTCCTCCTCTTTCTCCGCCTCCTCCTCCTCCTCCTCCTCTTTCTCCGCCTCCTCCTCCTCCTCCTCCTCCTCCTCCTCCTCCTCCTCCTGCTCCTCCTCCTCCATCCTCGAGCCCACGAGCCCACGAGCCCGCGAGGCGACGGCGGCCAGGTCACCTGCGGGGCCGCGAGGACCACCGCGCTTCGCGCGTCGCGCCCTGGGCCAAAGTGACCGCCGCGCGAGCGCGCGTCACGCGGCGGCGCCGCGCATCGCGGTGCGCAATACATTCAAATGGCCAAGGGCAGGAGGAGTAGCAGGAGGAGGAGGAGCAGGAGGAGATGCAGGAGCAGGAGCAGGAGCAGGAGGCAATAATGAGACAAGGAGGAGGCAAGGAGGCAAGCAGGAGGAGGAGGAGGGGGAGGAGGAGGAGGAGCAGGAGGAGCAGGAGCAGGAGGCAAGGAGGAGGCAAGGAGGAGGCACTGAGGCAAGCAGGCGCAGGAGGAGGAGGAGGAGGAGGAGGAGGAGGAGGAGGAAGAGGAGGAGAAGGAGGAAAATAAGGAAAAGGAGGAGGAGGAGGAGGAGAGGAGAGGAGGAGGAGGAGGAGGAGGAGGAGAGGAGGAGGAGGAGGAGGAGGAGGGGGAGGAGCTGGAGGAGGAGCAGGAGCAGGAGGAAAGGAGGAGGCAGTGAGGCAAGCAGGAGCAGGAGGAGGAGGAAGAGGATGAGGAAACACAGGAGGCAAGGAAGCTAGGAGGATGCAAGGATGAGGCAAGGAGGCAAGGAGGAGGCAAGCAGAAGGAGCAGGAGCATGAGGAGGAGGAGGAGGAGGAGGAGGAGGAGGAGGAGGAAGAGGAGGAGTCAACGCGGAGGCAATAAGGAGAAGGAGGCAAGGATACAAGGATGCAAGGAGGAGGTGGCAAGAATGAAGAGGCAAGGTTGAGGAAAAACAGGAGAAGGAGGAGGAGGAGAAGGAGGATGAGGAAGAGGAGGAGGAGGAAGAGGAGGAGATGGAGAAGGAGATGGAGGAGGAGATGGAGGAGGATGAGGGGGAGGCAAGGAGGAGCGAGAGGAGGAGGAGGGGAGGAGGAGGAGGCCTGGAGAGGAGGAGGAGGAGGAGGGGAGGAGGAGGAGGAGGAGCAGCAGGAGGAGGAGGAGGAGATGGAGACAAGGATGAGGCAAGGAGGAGGAGAGGAGGAGGATGAGAAGGAGGAGGAGAGAGGAGGAGGAGGAGGCAAAAAGGAGGCAAGGAGGCAAGGAGGAGGAGGAGGCTGGAGAAGGAGGAGGAGGAGGGGAGGAGGAGGGGAGGAGGAGGAGGAAGAGGAGGAGGAGGAGGAGGAGGAGGAGGAGGAGGAGGAGAGGGAGGCAAGGATGAGGCAAGGAGGAGGAGGAGGAGGAGGAGGAGGAGGAGGCAAGAAGGAGGCAAACAGGAGGCAAGGAGGCAAGGAGGAGGAAAGGAAGGCAAGGAGGCAAGGAGGAGGAGGAGGCAATGAGGAGCCAAGGACGAGGCAAGATGGAGGCAAGGAGAAAGCAAGGAGGAGGAGGAGGAGGAGAATGCAAGGAGGAGGAGGAGGAGGAGGAGGAGGAGGAGGAGGAGAAGGCAAGGAGCCAAGGAGGCAAGGAGGCAATGATGAGGAGTTGGAGGAGGCAAGGAGGGGCAAGGGACGACGACAGGGGCGAACAGCCCAGGGGCACCGCCGCCAAGCTCGAGAGTGTCTCGTGTTGCGGCAAGCGGGGCACCTCGCGGCGCGTCCGTCACCGCCCCCCCCCGTCTGCGGCGCGGCGCCTGCGGCTCGCTCTGGCGCAGGACCTGCCCCTGGCCCTCGGCGCGATGAAGTTCGCCACCGAGCTGCGGCGCCACCGGGTCCCAGAGTACGGCGACCACTGCCTGGAGTACGAGCTGATGCGGGAGGCCCTGAAGCGAGGCGAGCAGGAGGTCGTGAAGCGAGGCGAGCCGGAGCTCATCGTCCGGTCCTTTTGCCAGACCCTGTCGGCCCAGGTCAAGAGGGTCCACGCGTTCAGTCTCGGCATCCTCAAGGCCATCCTGGAGCGCGCGCGGCTGCTGGGGTCGCCAGAGCTGTTCTCGGAGACCGCGTGGATGCAGCTCGTGTCGGAGGTCGACCGTTTCCAGAGCTTCGCCTGGTACAACTGCGAGGGCGTCAGGATGATCATCGAGGAGCTCGGGGAGAAGTTCGGGCCGTCCGTCGCGAAGCAGCTCGGGGCCTGTGGCCTGCGGAGGAGCCCCCTGGTGGACGGGACGGACATCGACCTGTGGCTGAGGGTGCCGGCGCGGCGGTGCGCGGAGTTGTCGGAGGGAGGCAAGAGGCCCCCCCAGCTCGAGTTCTGGCTGCAGGAGTTCATGGTCGGATGCAGCCGCGCGAGCGCGAAGATTGCGGGGCAGCGCCTCCTGGAGTTCTGGACGCGCGGCTACTCGCAGAAGGTCACGCTGGCGGTGAGGAACACCTTCCTCGAGCTCTCCGACGGCGGCGAGGCGTGTCGGCACGGGCCGCGCCGCGCCCAGTCCCTGCCTCCGCGGGCGCTGGCTGGCGCTGGCGATGGCCCCAGAGGCGATCAGGGGTGGACAGAACCCCCAACAGTGACACGTCGATTAGTGAATTGTCCGTGTTCGGTTCTCGAGAGGGCGCCGTGGCCGTCATTTTCCAGGCCTGCGCCCGCCAGGTTTGGGCCTCGGGTCGTTTTCACTAAACCACGTTTTACTAAAGGGGGGTCTGTCCAGCCCGGAGGCGAGGGCTTGGAGCGCAGGTCGGCGGGGGACTCCCCGGGCACGGCGGGCGCGCGGGCCGGCGCGCGGGGCGGCGAGGCGCGCCGCCCGGCGTGCGCCTCGCCGCCCGCGCGCGGCGGCGCCGCGGCCGACGCGGAGCAGCCCGCGCCCGCGCCAGGCGAGCGCCGGGGGACGTGCGCAGGCCCCGCTGCGAGGCCGCGCCGTCGCCGCCGGCGCACGCGGAGGCGCGGGGCGGCGGCGCCCGGCCGGGGCGCGGGCGGGCGCAGGGCGCCGGCCGCGCCACGGGCGCAGCCTCCCCGGGAGGCCCCGCGCCCCGGTGGTGGCGCGACATCGCAGAGGTTCGAGCAGTCCCAGACCCCCTCGCGTCGTGAAAAAATCACGACGGGAAGTTTTTCGCTATTTTCGGCCTCTGGGGGCCCCTACCGGGCCTCGGGAGCGTCAAAAAACGACTCAGGATGCAAAGCCGGTCATGGGGAAAGGGTCGGGACCTCTGGGGGTCGACGTAATGAAAAAATCATGACGTCGGGGGTCTGGGGTGGCGAAGCGTCCTGGCTCGCCTCTATAGGCCCACCAAGAGATGTTCTGAGAACTTCTTGCGGTTTGCACGAAACGGTTCTTCGAACCTCTCTTGCTGGGACCGTCTTGTTTCAGTACATCGGGCTGATGTTCTAAGATAATTGCTTTTGTTTTTGTAACATTTTTGGGTTCTACGAACCCTTCGTGGTAGGCCTATAGGAATGCCGGGACGGTCGGTCCCTGCTCAAGAGGTGTGCCCGCTGTCGGGCTTCCCCGTGAGCATGCTGCCATACCCCCCGTACAAGCTCCATGCCCGAGCGGAGCGTTCGAAGGACGGCGTGCGACTGGTGGACGGCCCGTACCTGGTGCTGCAGGTGCTCGCCACGTGGGACTTCGCCGTCATCGGCCAGGCGCTCACGGCCTCGGACATCACCTCCCTGGACCTGTACATGAAGCAGTGCAAGCTCGGGCCCTTTCGGCTGGGCACGGCCCTGGAGCTGCAGCGGGACGGGGCGCCCGCCGCGCTCCGGGAGCTGCAGGCCCTCCGGGCGAGGGCGCGCCGGCGCCTCGAGAGCGTGCAGCACATCCAGCGGGTGCGCCTCGGCAAGTGGGCCGGCAGCCCGAGGGGCGCCGCCGCGTCAGGCGGCGGCCGGGCCGCCGCCGCCGCCCCGAGGGCCGCCGCAGGCAGCCCCGAGGAGGGCGAGCCGCCGGCCCGAGAGGCGAGCGCTCCTCCTCCTCCTCCTCCTCCTCCTCCTCCTCCTCCTCCTCCTCCTCCTCCTCCTCCTCCTCCTCCTCCTCCTCCTCCTCCTCCTCCCCCTCCTCCCCCTCCTCCTCCTCCTCCTCCTCCTCCTCCTCCTCCTCCTCCTCCTCCTCCACCTCCTCCTCCCTCTCCTCGCCAGGCGCGTGGCACCAGGCGCAACAGGCAGGCGTGAGGCTTCGGCGCCGTCCTGCCGCTGGCCGCTGGGGTCCGCCGCGACGCCGCGGCGCGGCCCGCGGCGAGCGCAGCGCTGCGCCGCCGCGAGCCGCGCGGCGCGGCGCCCTGGCGGCGGCGGGCGGCCCGCGCGGGCGGGGGCTCCCCCCCCCCCCCCCAACACCCCTGCTCGCCCCCCCCCCCCCCCCCACTTCTCTGAGTCATCCTGGTGCCTGCCGCACGGGTTCTGCCGGCAAGGCGTGGCGGCGCGCGCACGATGCTTGAGGGCTTAGCAGTCATGAGTGGAGCTCAGTCGTTGCTGGACCCAAACATCGCGCGGTGTTGGTCCTCGTGTTGAAGAGACAGCGCCATGCGTCACTCCTCCCGCTCACCACCATCATCATCATCATCATCATCATCATCATCATCATCATCATCATCATCATCATCATCATCATCATCATCATCATCATCATCGTCATCGTCATCATCGTCATCGTCATCGTCATCGTCATCGTCATCATCCTCATCATCAGCATCAGCAGCAGCATCAGCATCAGCATCAGCATCAGCATCAGCATCGTCATCATCATCATCATCATCATCATCATCATCATCATCAGCATCAGCATTATCATCCTCACCTTCATCATTATGAACATCATCAGCAGCAGCATCTTCACCATCAGCAGCAACAGCAGCAGCATCATCATCACCATCACTCATCGCCATCGTCAACTCCATCGTAGTCGTCACAGTCGTCATCATCAGCATCATCATCATCTCATCATTATCGTCATCATCATCAGCATCATCATCATCATCATCATCATCATCATCAGTCGCATCAGCATCATCATTATTGTCAGTATCCTTAATGATTTTGGTGGTATTATTTTCATGGCCGTTCTCATCACCAGCATCGTCATCACCATCGCCTTCATCATCACCATCAGCGCCATGAGTTTCGGCACTCCCCTCACACGTTTCGTGGCCCCAGAGGAATCTCCACCTAAGGCCCCACTGGCACCGTCAGCATGTGGACGACACTCCCGTCTCGACACACCCCTCACACGTTCCGTGGCCCCATAGGGAGCTCCACCTGAGGCCCCAGAAGCGCAGTTCGCATGTGGGCGCCACCCCCGTTTCGGCACACCCGCACACGTGTCGTGGCCCCATGGGGAGCTCCACCTGAGGCCCCAGAAGCGCAGTTCGCATGTGGGCGCCACCCTCGTTTCGGCACACCCCTCACACTACAATATTCGTGGCCCCATAGGGAGCTCCAGCTCAGGTCCCAGTGGCGCAGTTCGCATGCGGGTGTCACCCCCGTTCTGGCACACCCCTCACACGCTGCGTGGCCCCATATGGAGCTGCACCCAAGGTCTCAGTGACAGAGTTCGCATGTGGACTTCACGCTCGTTTCGGTACACTCCTCACACGCTCCGTTGCCCCATAGGGAGCTCCACCGAAGGCCCAGTGGCACGTGGGCGTCACGCCCGTTTCGGCACACCCCTCACACGTTTCGTGGCCCATGAGGGGGCTCTACCTCAGGCCCCAGTGGCAGCGCCCGCATGGCAGCCCCGCCCCATTGCGGCACACCTTTCAAACGCTTCGTGGCCCCATAAGGAGATCCACAGAAGGCGACGCCCACAACGACGGCACTCACAACTGCATATGGTTGGGTCCTTCGCCTGGATATGTTTTGTTGTTCTGCATCCCAGCTCGATGCCGTCAGGCTCTGTGTTTCAAATTCGCATTGGTTTGGTTTCACAGGAGCCTGCCGCTTCAAGAAGTGGAGTCATCGCCCCTCTTGATCTTCCTTCCGCCCCAACGTGATCGCAGGGGTGTGCTTGTTGCCTCACTTCATGTTCGTCTAACCTCCCTTCGCGGCTCGCCACGCCTGCTTGCAGGCGGCAGAACCTTTGGGCGCATGTGCATTGCGCGTCGCGGGACCAGTTCCCGCACACACTATTCAAAACCGATGAGCAGCCTGTGTCCTCGTTACGTGAGCCTGGGCCGCGGTTGCGACTGCCAGCGGCGCAAAGGCCGGTGCACGCTGGAGCAGGTATAGACAAAGACGAACAAGCGAAAGTTGCCGGCAATCACGGGCAGCCATGGTAAAGGTCGCCCTGCGCTTGACAAGCGCCAGTCCTGGACGGCAATTGGCAGACACTCCAGATCTCACAATAGTGGGGGGGGTCAATAAAGTGTTTTACGGCTCGTTTCGAACCTTCCCCAAAAGCGGCGCAACCGCATCACAACCCGAAGTGAACCCCCTTTGGGAGGCAAGTGAGGGTCCAGAATCGAGACCCCCTGGGATGTTGTTTGACGAGGCCCGTTGAACCCCCCAAAAGTAGACCCCCCACACCATGACGAGATCTGGTGTACATGTGTGCATCCACTTTCTTCTTGTATCTTGCGTGTGCCGCCCTCGACGCCGAGAGTCTGCGGCAGGCGGCTCGCCCAGCTCTGCTGGCGGGCGGGCGACGGCTGCAGCGCTCGCTTCGGCGAAGCGGCCAGGACCCTGACTCGGGTCGGGCGAAAGGGGGGGATTGGGAAAGGGGGGGTTACGAAATTTGCTGCATGCAGCTGGTTTCGGCGTCACCGAGGGGCCCATTCCTCGATACATAGCCGCCTCTGGCGCCGGGAGGCGCTGGGAAAATCAGCTACGTGAGCTGATTCTCAAACGCCCGACCCGACTGACCTCCAACGCATTGAACAAAAATCAAGACGGAGGTTTTCCTAGATTTTCGGCCACTAGCGGCCCTCGCCGGGCCCCGGGACCGCAAAAAAACGACTCAGGATGAAGAACCGGTCCTGGCGAATCAGAGTCGAGGTTTCTGGGGACTCCGTATTGAATAACAAAAAAAACGACTTCGGATCTCTGGGGAGGACTCCGCGCGTCGCTCGAGGAGCGAGGCATCGGAGGTCTCAGCGGGCTGCCCGGGTCGGAAACTGGAGCATATAACCCCACCCCCCGGATAATAATTGACCCCCTTAAAAATTTGAGAGTTTATTATCCCCGACCAATACAGTTAGGTCGGGCCTGTCGAGGAAGATTCAAACATGTTTTATTTATTTGTTTGTTATATTATGTTTTTGCTTTTTAATTCAAAAAATCAGGGGATTACTTTTCCAGTACTTTTCTAAATTCATTTTTTGCGCACGCTTGGACTGTTACAATTTTTCCTAGAAAATCGGCCTGTCGGGGGACAGGCCCGACCCAATGCCAGGGTCGGAAAATGGAGAATATCACCCCCACCCCCGGATAATAATGACCCCCCCCCCTATCCATTGAGAGTTTATTATCCCGGGCCACTGCAGTCGGGCCTTGGCAGAACTGGGTTTAGTGGGACCTGGTTTAGTAATGTGTACTGGGGGGCGCCCTCCCCGCCCGTTCCACCAACCGGAACGGCCGCCACCCGAAAAAACACCAGCTACGGCAGACTTAGTTTAGTGATCGGGTCCCCTTAACTGGGGTCCTGGCTATACCCGATACTGGCTTGGTCAGGGAAGATAGGCGGTAAGGCCGAACTGTTCTATCGCGGGGGGGAAGAAGCGAATCGAAGTTGCTTTCTTCTGATGTTGAACAGCAGAGATCCCCAAGGATTCCGGTTGGTTTCCTCCGGTATGTCATGGATGTCCTAGAGGATTTGGTGGACTTCCGAAGGATGCATATAGATGTCCGAGAATATCGTATGGATGTCCGAAGGATTCATATAGATGTCTGAAAGAATCCGATTGGTGTCCTGAAACATTACATACAAGTCCTTTGGCAATCCACAACAATCCGCAGGAAATGCAAGGCATTCGTCATAATTTCCATAAGGCCACCTTGGGACTTCATAGGACATTCCACAGGAAATGTATAGGAGTGCTTAGGACGTCCATATGATTCCTTAGGAAGCCCATTGGATTCGTCAGAAAATCAAGTTTTTTTGGAACGCGTAAGATTTCTTCAAACATCCATGCGGTTGTTTAGGAATTCCATCGGGTTTATTTGGACATCCATAAGGTTCTGGAGGACATCCATAGGACCCCTTAGGAACACATGCCGGCTTCCTTAGGACATTCATGTGAGTCCTTCGGAAATCCAAAGGGACCCGACGGACATCCATACTATTCGGCTGGAAGTCCATGGGATTCTTGGGGACATCCATCGGTGATTAGGACATCCATAGGATTTCTACAGCAATCCGATGACATCCATCGGGCTCCGATGGGATTCCTGAAGCCGCAGGAAATTCACAGGACCACTTAGGGAATCGAGTGGACTCCGTTTTAGAAAGCTTTGGGTATCCACCAGCAATATATAAAGCCCCTTGGGGCATCCATGGGGTCCCTTCGGACATCCATCGGATTTCTTTGGGAATCTATAGGATCCCCAAAGACATCCACAAGATTCGATGGGGAACTCATCGGGTCCGGACATCAGTGGGATTCTTAGGGGAACCCATCGGAATTCAGAGGAAATCCATAGGGCCCCTTTGGAAATCCAAAGGATGCCGCAGGAAATCCACGGGACCCCGTAGGACATCCAAAGGAATCTTTTAGAAAACCACGAGGTGCCTGCGACAATCCATAAGATTCCTCAGGACATCCATGGGATTTCTTGCGACATGCATCGGGTCCGTTAGGATATCCATCGGGTTCCTTTGGGGATTAATGGGGTCCTTCAAGAAAGCCATACGATGCGGTAGGACACCCATCGGATTGCTGAGGCAATCCATCGGATTCTTTAGGGAACTTTTTTTTTTTCGGAAACCTTAGGGACACCATAGGCACCATTAACTACACGATCGGATTCCTTAGGACATCCACCAGATTCCTGAGAAAACCCATTGGTTTCTTCATGCAATACATAGGACTCCTTGGGGCATCCATGGGATCCATTAGGACATCCATAAGATTCGGGTGGACATCTATAAAAGCCTTTGGGCCATCCATAGGATTGCTCCGGCAATCCATTCGAGTCCTTAGGCAATCCACGCGATTCCCGCGGAAACCCATGGGGCCCCTCAGGACATATATATATGTATATATATACATATATATACATACATGCACACATAT